TAGAAACCTTATAATATAGAATTTAAACATGCGTTCAAAATGTATTTCTTACATTTTAAACCATGTTATGATGAGAATCTTGTTGAACCATAATGCATGACTATTATATTATAACAGAATTATTGTTACCTCTTCTTTAATATTATTCGTAGATATGAAAACGGTGGTCGACGGGTATAACATATCTAATATACGTTTGACGCTATCTGACTACAAWATTCTACATCTTCTACTAATACGTCAATTTTTATCACAAGAAATAATTTTGTGTTGCAATTTACGTTCATTTCGGAAATAAATCATAAAAATTTTCTAAAATTTTTAACTTTTCAGAAAAAGAAAATATACTTATAAAATAAAAACCATATTGAAAAAAATAATTCGCAGTATAATTATATAATAATAATAAATTGCAAATAATTCATAGTAATTCACATKACTTTAATTTTATAGAGCTAAGTCTTATGGCAACGATCAAAAATATATTTYGCATCATAATCTCACCTCTCATCATCAATGGTGACGTCATACGAACTAAAAAAAAGGTGTAAAGTTATGTTTTTTAAATAAAATATCCATAATATTAATTACCAATTTAAGAAAATACATTTTCTCATATCCCCTCGTAGGTTTGTTAAATTAACTTTGCGAAATTTAAATCCAATTCGACCTATTATACTAATTCTGTGACCCCATTCTTGAAACGCATTAATGAATAAATCACATTAATAATAATACCTAAMGGCAATCGTTTTTCWGATTATATTTTGAAAATGTTTTTTTCAGTCAAAAGGTTTGATCAAAATTACTATTATACTATAAATTACGGTACGGCGGAAGCGCGTAAACAAAACTATGTCGAAAAATAAAACGAAGTGTGACAGAAACCGGCCGACCGCCGAGTTTGATCGGTTTGAATTCCGGGGTGGCCGACTGATCGTCGGTTGCAAGTGTACCAGGAACGACGGAATGCAACATGAATGCGAGCGACTAAAGTGTATGGCTGACCGGCCACTATGTTTAACATATCCGGCGGCCACTTGCTATCCTAGCCGGCCATGCCCGCTGCGGCCAACAAATTTTCTACAGAACAACGTCCATCGTCAAGGCAGTGGCGCCATTTCGCAGTCGTCGCATCAACTTATGGTCGGTGGTGTTGGTACCGTTGGCGGTGTTGTTGATGGTGGTACCGGTGGTAGAGGGACCTTTGCCGGAGGGACCGGCGGAAAGTACTCGGCCGGACGTGACGCGCGTTACGTATCCTTCAACTCGCATCATATGAGAAAGTGGGCCACCGATCAATATGACGACCGTCCCGCACTCAGAAAGTTTTTTCAACCCTGCCACGTCCACTGTGTGCAATATCGGACGCCCGTAGACGTCTGTACCCGAGACGCCAAGATGAATTGATTTTATAATAATACAGTTGCCACAAATAAAATGAATTTTGATATGTGTTTGTCTCATMAAGTTCACATATTTTTCTTCTCAAATTACAATTATTATTGTAATGATGGTTTATATATCAAGTATAGGTTTCTATCCATAGTGGGCGTCTATTTTATCAGTACGAAATCATTGAAATTTTTAAAATTTTTGAATGTCATACTTTTTTATTCATAATTTAATATTCAGAAATGATTCAAAAATGTATGACTAATAAACTCATTTAACTGTTAAAAACAAGGGGAATGTTTTTACAGAACATGGTTTTCAATTTGCCTTTTAAGATGAAGTACACATAATAATATGTATTATATACTACCAATTTCTTCTTTTCAATTTTTGTAATGTATTTACACGTTTTAGGAGTTTACAATTATTTGTATATTTAGAAAGGGTCAGATTAARATTTTAAACACCWAGCTGCAATCTATGACATTTTCCCTCATAATTAATCACAACTTATAAGACTGATTTGTCTTTATATAACAGGTATTAGTAAGGGTACTGCATAATAATATAATATAATAATATATATATAATACCCTTATATTTATAAGGGTACTGCACTTTATAACATTTTATACTCGGGGTGCTTTTGTTTCTCAGCCCTTCAAATTTATAGCCCACGTAATATTAATAAAACACCTGCACTATAATGATAGTACTGTACGTGATTATTATTCGCAATATATATAGCATTATGAATGAATATAAGTTCATGAAAAATAAGAATCGAAGATAATATTAATATTGTTGACCTTATTAGTTATTGAACTATAAAACCAGACAAATAGCAATTTATTTGAAAAAAAGTGACATGTTATTAAAAAACAGGATGAAAATCATTTTAGTTCCATTKGATGGAAATATAATGCTACAGGTGGATTTTATAAAACCATAAGGTCAGGAAGTAATAAGATTAAACGTTAGTTCGGACCGTATAGTTTTCAGTCAGGGCCACTAAGCCTATTGAATATAGGTAATGTAGTGCTACATATATATTATATTAAATGGGCGGCGGTCCCAAACTTATTAGTACTAATTGAAACATAAATTAAATATTATTAATGTACCTATTAATAATAATATACTTTTAACACCGAACATCCCTTTTTTATACTTATGATGTGTTTTTACTTCGGCATTATTTCCAATATAAACAAAACAAATACATATAATTATATTGTAGATATAATACTATTTAGTTACTGTATTAAGTACTGATATAATTCAGTGACTTTTTTACCTGCCTACCTATTATRAGCTAGCTGTTGGCACTAAATTGTACAGCGTATATTTGTACTTTTGACCTATGATATCATCAATATAAAACACAAATATTTAAATTTACTCCATATAGTATGTTATTTTATATACCTTATTCATTGGGTTTCAAATCATAAAAAAAATATTTATAATTGTACATTTTGAAATTGTATATATTCACCCCTGATGCTGTTTATAAATTAATTTATAGCCTACAATACACGATAAATTAATATTTAATACCTACTGTTGTATACGATCGTCATGAATATATTTTTATAAAACTACAAAATAAAAATCTATAACTTGATTGAGGACTATATAATTATGATTTATGATTATGTTAGCCGCTAGGCCCACTTGTGGGCCCTGAGCAGCATGGAACTGGGCCGCGAGCCATAGGTATAATATTAAATATTATATATATATATATATAGGTAATATAATTAAGTTTTTTTGTAATGAAAATGTTTTTTTTTTAATT